AGCCAACCATAGTACCCCCAAGCGGACGCCCCCTTACTCTGCTTGCCCGTCTGTGCCTGCCGTGAACTCGTATGTCAACGCGTGCACACCTATATCCGGGTAAAGGAGCGGACGGTCCTCCGTTGGTTCCCACCGTGCTCCCCTTGGAGCCCCGTTTCGTGGGACGCACACACACACACACACACACACACACACACACACACACACACACACACACACACACGCACACGCACAAGCTCAAACACGAAGGTGGACACCTTGTTCTCGTCTGTGAGGAGGGTGATGCGTGACATGAGTTCATCTCGCTCAGTCATCCTGCATGCACACGCAAACGCCACGTCAGCAAACCTCTCTCTCTCTCTCGCATTCAAAGCAAGGGTCGTACACATTCGAACACGACCATCACCAGCAGCAGCACATGTACGCGGGCACACAGATAGACACACACACACACACACACACACACACACACACACACACACACACAGATACACGCACCACTGCTGGAAGTCGCGTGGTTTCACGGCGCCGGGAGCGGGGCCTCGCCGCGGGGTCCGCTCGAGCAGCTGTTGCCTGCAGGCACAACATGTAGAATGGAACGAACCAGCGCATATGCGAAAGAGAGATTGAGAGAGTGTGCATATGAGAGAGAGTGTGTGTGTGTGCGTGCGTGCGTGTGTGTGTGTGTGTGTGTGTGTGTGTGTGTGTGTGTGTGTGTGTGTGTGTGTGTGTGTGTGTGTGTGTGTGTGTGTGTGTGTGTGGCATCAACCTCTTGGTTGTGTTTTGAATGACACGCAGTCACAAGTAAGAGCATGACAGCAAGCTGAACTTGAACATTTCGGCGCACCTGAGGAGATGAACCCGACCCTCCGCCTGTCGAAGCTGCTGCTCCAGCGACGCAACACGCACGGACAAGTCTGCAACCATGGTGTCACCAGCGACAGTGACGTATGCAGGAAGTGAGGCACCGTTCTACACTGCTGGCATTCCCATGTCACACAACTTCACACACACACACACACACACACACACACACACACACACACACACACACACACACACACACACACACACACACACACACACACACACACACACACACACCGCACCTTGATTATTCTGTTGAAGTTTGTGATTGGCGCGCAGCTGACGATCGTACTTGGTTGTTGCATTGGCCTGAAGCTCAATCAGTCTGCGAGGGACAGATGGCACGCAAGCAGCAGTGAGACGACCGCCTGGGCATGTGAAATGTCAGCGACGCAGTATGCACACACAGACACACAAACACACACACGCACACACACAGAGACACCCACAGACACCCACAGAGCAACAACCATAGCCACAGACACACAGACACACATACGAACACACACACGCACACACCCACAGACACCCACAGACACACAGACACACACACACACACAACCTGTCCAGCCGGCGCTGCATGTCGAGAACCTGCTGCTTCATCGTGTCTTCATCTCGGAGGAAGGACGAAGCCGTCTGCGTTGCATTGCTGCCAGCCATCAAATCAGCAGTGCAGCAGAGGGCGTCAAAACAGGTAACATGTACTGCCACACACAGAGAGACACGGCGACAAAGGTACACGGCGACAAAGGTACACACAGACACACATATTCAGACACACAGACACACAGACAGACACACAGACACACGCGCACACACACACAGACACACATACACACACACGCACCACACACCTTGCGTCTGCGACACGGGTTTGGCGGGATTGCGCTGCGATGGTGAGTTGCTTGGAAAGGCTGGACACAGTTCGTTGCAGCCGTCTGTTCTCCGTGCGGTATCGGACCACCATGGATGCCAGCGAATCCACACTCCTCGGCTTACGTGCCTGTGCCAACAGGGCAAAACCACAAGGAGAGCGAGGAGTGAGCTGACACGAAACCGACGCCAGAGTGGCCAAGAGGTGAATACCGCCAACAGCAAGCTGCCAACGGCAATAAGCAAGGAGTCAAGCGCACTCACAAAGGGGCAGTCGTGGTCAAGCTGGCTGCTCGCTTCTTGTAATCTCGACATGGTGTGTGTGTGTGTGTGTGTGTGTGTGTGTGTGTGTGTGTGTGTGTGTGTGTGTGTGTGTGTGTGTGTGTGTGTGTGTGTTTGGTGCAGCCAGTGCTTTTGTGTCCGTTGCGACTGTGCGATCTTGGGTGATGGCGATTCCGTGCAATTATTTTCTTGAGTGCGCGAATGCGAATGGCGAGAAGCAGTTGGTTGTTGTGCTTGGTGTTGTGCTTGGTGTTGTGCTTGGTGTTGTGCTTGGTGTTGTGTTGAGCTTGGCTGGCGAGCTTAAGGGGTCGTGCTTTGAATGCCTGAACAGCACACGTGCATGTAATGTGGCTCGCCTCTCCCTTTGCTTCACTCGTTTGCTTGCTTGATTTCTTGCCGCTCACCGCAAACGACTGGCATCTGCGCACTGTGGACACACAAAACACACGCACACCCACATGTGTGGCCTCGTGGAACACAGAAGACACTGCTGATTCCTCTGTGTCCTCCGAAACACCCGCCACGGACCGGCTCGACATGTCGGGGAATCCGCAATCGTCGTCACCTCAGGTCGGCTGGGATGTTCGTGCACAGTCCGTCAACGCCAACTGTCATCCTGTCTTTTGTGGCTGCCTGATTGCCTGTCTGTCTGCTAGTCTGCTAGTCTGCTCACTGGTCTGACCTTCCGTCTGTCTGACACACACACACACACACACACTCTCTCTCTCTCTCACTCTCTCACACACCAACACACACCAACACACCAACACACACCAACACACCAACATTAAAACATACACACACACCAACACACACATGCATGCATACACGCACACGCATACAAACATACACACCCACACATACACCCCCCCCCCACACACACACACAACGCGATACAGCAGCAGTTTCGTGCTGCAGGTGCACAACAGCCTCGAATGGCAACAGGGTATCCCACGATGCCACAACAGCAGCAGCAGCAGCAGCAACAACAACAACAACAACAACAGCAATCACAGCAATCGCAGCAGATGATGGCGTCCAGAGCGACGTATTCGACCCCCACGGCTGCATACGCACCCACGCCGTCGAGACACGTTCCCTCGGCGTCACCACTCTCGCACCCCACGGCAGCGCCATCATATTCCCCGCAGCAGCAGCCGCAATACCACACGGGCCCCGCACACGGGACAGGCCAGCGCATGGCACCGGCACCTGGCGTTGTGGGCATGAGCAAGCCTCCAAGCTCGCAGGGAACCCTTCCATATCCAGCACGGCAGCAGCAACAGCGCAGCGCAGTGCGAGGAGTGCCCAACACAGCAGCGGCACCACAGGCGGTGGCGGGTGGACGCGTCGTGGCAGCGGTGGGCCAACACGCGCGCCTCGCCATGCAGCCCTCTGCCCCGTTTGCCAGCATTCCAAGTGGCGGTGGCAGCGGGGTAGGCACCCGTCCACCGCATGCTCAGATGGCGCCACCACGCGCTGCTCCCGTGCCGCCATCATCATCATCATCATCATCGTCGTTGTCGTCATCGACAGCATCGTTGCCGGTGTCAGCTGCGTCTGCGCAGGCATTGTCGCATCCCACAGCATACAGGCACACGACACCGCCCTCAATGGCACACCGCGGGGCCGTGCAAGGCACCACGTCAGCCATCTTACAGGTGGGTAGCGGTGGTGGTGATGGCTGCAAGTGGCTGAAGCGTGCCTGGCTTTGAGCGTTTCATGCACACATGTTACACATGTTGAAAGGTTTGCCCGTTGCGCACATATTCACCCACCCACCCACCCACACACACACACCCACCCACCCACACACACGCCCCCCGCCACACACACACACACACACACACACACACACACACACACACACACACACACACACACACACACACACACTCTGGGTACGCTTGACTATGCATTGGTCAAGTCCCAACACTCATTAAGCTCGTACGGATTACGGGAGGCGTATTTGAACCTGTTGACACATCCGTTGCGTTCTGCTCCTGGGACCGCGGGGGATATTGCCCAACCCACCACCACACCACCCGCCCACCACACACACACACACACACACACACACACACACACACACACACACACACACATACACACACACACCCTAACACGTCTCGTTTCTTGTCCATGCGGGTGTTGCACCAGTTGCAAGCGCGCTATCAGCAGTTGAGCGAGGAGTTGAGTCGCCCACCACCAGCCAACACCTCGCCAGCAGCAGCAGCAGCGCACAGGGACAAGATCAGGGCTACCATGGAAGTGAGTACACAGGATGCAAGTGGTGGTGGTGGTGGTGGTGATCGGTGGTGGTGGTTGTGGTTGTGGCAATTTGGTTTGCGAAGAAGCCATCGAGGCTAAGCAAGGAAGCGTGGTATGTTTCAACTGTCACAAACCTTCGCAAAGCACCCCAGTATGTATACGATGCTTTCATCCATGCATTCACTCTCCACCACGACCACCACCACCATGACGCCTGCTTGTTAGACTGTGGCAATGAACATCAGTCGCCTCAGGTCCGCCCATCCCCAGCAGCAGCAGCAGCAGCAGCAGCAGCAGCAGCAGCAAGGCAACAAGTACGTATATGCACAGCCACAACAACCACAACAACCACAACAACCACAACAACCACAACAACAACAACAACAACAACAACAACAACAACAACAACAACAACAACAACAACAACAACAACAACAACAACAACAACAACAACAACAACAACAACAACAACAACAACAACAACAACAACAACAACAACAACAACAACAACAGCTACAGCAGCCTTCTGGAAGCGGTGTTCGTGTTGGGATGCAGGCACAACCTCGCACGCCGGTGGTTAGCATGCCTTCACAACAACTGGGCCAGCCGCCGTCAGCGTACGCACAGTACAGCACGCGGCCCCCACCACCACAACAGCAGCAGCAGCAGCAGCAGCAACAAGGTATGTACACGTATGCAACCAGTGCACCACCGCGTCAACAGTCCTCGCAGCAGCAGCAGCAGCAGCAGCAGCAGCAGGGACCCCAGGGACGTGGGAGCACACCGCAGGCAGGTATGGTAGCTCGCTACTCCGCACCAATGCCGCCAACAACAGCTGCGGGCAGCAACGGAGGCGCACACATGCAAGTGGGCGTACCACCTGCTCCCACGCGCCACACACAGCCTGGGTCAGGAGGCGTGGCTTCCTTGCGTAGCGCATTGCCGTTGCCTGCAGGCACGCGAATGCCGGCCCCAACGGCACACGCACACCCTGGCCAAGCAGGTGGCGTCGTGCACGCTCCAGCAGTGACCAGAGCAGACATGACAATTCCACTTCGAGCCCCACAGCAGCAACGACAGCCACAGCAGCAGCAGCAGCAGCAGCAACGACAGCATGCATCCATGCCGGCACTGGCGGGTCATGGGGGACCGGGGGTGAGGCACCCACATCCACCACCCCATTCGTCAGGAACAGCAGCAACATCAGCAACACCGTCAACGTCAACAGCAGCAACCGCAGTGAGCGGAGGGGGCGGGGTAACCAGCACCGTGTCTGTTGCCTCGTTGCTGAAGGATCTTCCGTCTGAGACGCAGCAAGCCTTCAATCGGATGCAAATTATCGGAACGCCAACAGAGGACCGCTGGTTCCACTCGCTGTACTCGTCTGTGAGCGGGTGCACCGCTGTTGACAACATGCTGCGCATCGCATACCAGTCGCCTTGCGCCGCCCCGACCAAGAACTCAGAGGTGATGATGATAGTGATGACAGTGATTATGGTGATTGTGGTGGTGGTAGTGGTGGTGGTGCTGCTGCTGGGTGCGGTATCTGTGTACATGTCTCTTTTCTTCCCGCGGTGCGGTGCGTTCTTGTGCGTTTGTTCGCCTCGCCTTTCACTCGCACTCCTTGTCGCCTCTCACACTACAATCACCACCATCACCACCATCACTATGTCACCACCATGACCACCATCATCGTCATCGTGAGCAGCACTGCCCGTGCATCTGCTTCCGCCCAGCGCCGACAGCTGTCGTTCGCTCCCCAGATCTCGCATGCAGAGACTGCAAACACAAGGTCTTTGGGGGGGGGGGAGAACACACTCGTGGGCCGAGTTGGAGCGAGAGTGCGTGAGTGTAAGACTGCGAGTGTGTGTGCAAGACTGTGAGAGAGAGTGTGCGTAAGACTGTGAGTGTGTGCGTGGGCGGGTGTAAGACTGCGAGTGTGCGTGGGCGGCAGTATAAAGGACGAGAGAGAGCGTGCGCGCAAGATGTCGTGCCGTGCATGTGCATTTGCATGCAGCTGGCGCTTCCACTCACACGGAACCCAAATCACTTGACCAAATATTCGTCATGGCGGTGTCGCTTCCTTCAGTTGACGGATCACGGCAAGACGGCAAATCTTTCCAGAACAACACTCATCCATCGCACAGTCGTCTGCCTCATGTCAGTGCTGTCTCACACACATATGTGTACACGCACGCACATTACATGCACATCATTTGTACATCAGGCGAACATGGCATGCGCTTTATTTCAATGTGACCTTGTTGATCTGAGTTGTGTGACCTCTTACGTCTTGCTTTATCAGCAGTTCTATTGGTTGATCTTTACTCACACTCCGTCCATGTCTGCACGCACGTGCATCAATGCGCGCTTGTGTGTGTGTGCTTGCATGCGACTGCGTGTTCGTGTGTATATGTGCGTGTGTGTGTGTGTGTTCATGTGTATGTGGGTGAGCAGTTTTGACTTTCGGTATCGGGATTACCGGCTGCTGCTGCAGCACGTGCAGAAGGAATACCTGACCACACTCGTGACAGAGGTGAC